TAGGAGCAACAGATACCACAGAGGGTAGATTTTGAGGAAAGGTCAGGGTTTGGACACTGATAGCCAGACAGGAACAGTATTTCCTACTAGGAGGAACAGAGAAGCAACTGGTTCAGTGATATGACAATAAAGATAAATGGACCAGTGTAGAAGGGTTTTCAGAAAAAAGATCCTGGAAAAGTTTTAGGACAAATTATGAATTAATAACACCTATGAGTAAACGCTTATGAGAAAAGCATAACCACTGAGTCGAGCACAAGTTCACTAAGAACTAGTTGCTTCCTGGTTTTTATATGGTTACTAGTCTGGTAAACTAGAAGGTGTAGAGGGGATTCTGGTGATTGGCTGGGATTTGTTCTTTTCCAATGTAAAGATTCTATGCTCTTGTGGGCAGAAGAGTAAAATGGAAGGCCCTGAGTTCTCTTTTATGTCTGTCATTCAGCAGGAATTCTGACATCAACAGCAATGCTCCTGGTAAGAGTGTGGTCTATGCAAGTAAACACCCATCCCCACAGAGCTGGTGATGGACCGATTGCAGCAAAAAGGACAGGCCCAGTGCTGTGACAGGGCTCTATGTTTGGCTATTTCGTTTTTTTCCATCTTCATTCCTGTTTGCCAATGACATAAAGAAACCCACAGCATACATCTATCAGTTTCAGATGATACCATCTGAACTGGAAGAGATGAATAAATGTATTCGTTGACACATCAAAAGAAAATCTTGCTTCCTTTTGGCCTGTTATGGTTTATATTTAGATGTTCTCCCAGAGCCTCATGAGCTCATAGGTGGGGCTTTTGGCAGGTGATTGGATTATGGGGGCCTTATAGCTAAATGTGATATTAGGACATTGGGCCTGATAAAAGAGGCAGGTCACTGTGGGTGTGACCCACAAGGGTATATCTCCTTCCCTAGCACCTCCCTTGACCCTTTTTGCTTCCTGTACACCCGGCCGTGAGCAGTTCTCTTCTGCTATGCCCCCCTGCCATGTTGTCCTGCCCTGGAGCCAGCCAACTATGGTTCGAAACATCTACAAACTGTGAGGCAAAATAAATCTTTCCTCCTTTAAATTGCGGAGGTCGGGTATTTTGTCTCAACAATAAGGAAAGTGACTAAAACACAGCCAAAATTACCATCTTTCAGTAATTCACAAAATGACAAACAAAAGGAAAAACAAGAGGCATCTATATTGTTCTCTAGGCCTTCTAGAAAATATGGAGTTGTTCCTGGGACCGCGTACATGCGAGAATCTGGAGAAAAGTGATGTTGTGGACATTAAGGGGGTGGGTGCTTGTCAAAAAGCAACACCCCATAAGTGTTACTGTGACAAAACTGTGAGAGTCTACAGAGTTACCCAGCATGCTGCTGGCATTGTCATAAAGTTAAAGTTAAAGGCAAGAGTCTTGCCAAGATGATTAACATGCATGTTGAGCATATGAAGCGCTCTAAGAGGCCAGATAGCTTCCTGAGACACAGGAAGGAAAATGATCAGAAAAAGAAGGAAGCAGAGAGAAAAGAACCTGCATTCAACTGATGTGCCACTCTATTCTGGCCAGAGAGGCACATGGTATAAGAACCAATGGAAAGAAACTTTAACCTATTTCCTATGAATTTATGGCACAATAGGTGTAAGAATAAAAGGCCTCTTCTTAATTCCACTGACAAAGACATGCAACTGAAATACAATAGATTTAAATGTAAATGTGTATCTAGGGCCAAATTCTCAAAAAGCAGAAGGAGAAATCTATCTTTACAATAATGGATGTAAAAAGAGCCCGAGGGCTCTTAATTAACCACCCTATGGCCCAGCAGGGTGGTATGATTAGCAAACAAGACTGTGCTTAAACAAATTGTATCCTTATACTCCTCGATTCAACCAACCCTAATTTAGCCCCAGCGTATGTCAGGCACTGAGTTGGGCCTGACTACAGAGAACAAGATAGAGTTCCTGCTCTCAGGCCACCTACAATTTAGTAGGGGAGAACAGGCACAAGAAAAAGTAAACAAACAAGTAAAAACATTCTATCTGACGATAGGAGCCTAGGGTAACACAAAGTAAGGCAGGAAGCAGTGTGATCAGGGCAAACCTCTTGGAGAAATGGTATTCGTATTGAAGCATATAAAGAGGAAAGAGAATTGGGGAGGCAGAATATGCCAAGCAAGGCAGTGAATACACTGGCCCTGAGTCTGGAAGGAATTTGCTATGTTGTCAGAACTGAAAGGCCAGTGAAGCTAGCCCCTCTTATAGCCACCAACATCTATCTTCCAACTCTTCCATAGTGACAGGGGTTCTGACATAGAACTTCTAGGCTGTGTTATGTTTCCCAGCCTCCTTTGCAGTTAAATATGGCCATGGGCCTGAGTTCTAATCAGTGGGATCTGATGCTTGACCAGTGTTGGGACCCAGGGCCCTTCAGAGGGAGGCAAATCCCTCCTCACACTCTTCCCTTTTCTTGCTGGCTGCATCTGGGACTTGGCAGCAACCCAGCTTGGACTGGAACACTCCATGGAAAAGCAAAGCCCCAACTGGAGGGGCCTAGGTCACTGAATGACTGCAGAGTAGGGCCACCTGCTAACCTGGTTACTCACCTCAGACAGCTACTTGAGAGAGAAAAAATATCCTATATTCTTTAAGCCATTGAATCACTGTCATGACTCTTACCTAATCTAAATGTTATAGAAACAAAGGAGATACTAGCACCACCTGCCAGTCCACATTTAGAATGTTGCATTTGAATCAAATAGCTGCTTGTTTTTAGGGGATGTTAATGTTGGGAGCATGTCCAGGAAAAGATGACAATGATGAGATATAGAAGTCTGAAAATCAAGTCAGTGGAAATCTGTTAAAGATGGAAGATGGTCATTTAGGGTTAGGGGTGTCACTCGGTGGTAAAGTACTCACCTATACACTTGAGGACCTGGATTTAATCCCAGCAATGTAAAAATTAAAAAGGAAAAGATGATTATTTAATCTGATAAAGAGCTTCCTTGAGGGGAGCATCGTGGCTGTCATGAAACATTGGGGAAGAAGAATGAAGTTGAACTGGGGTAGCTTCAGTAGGACCTGTGGATGGTTGACATTTATGATGAAGCAGATTCTGATCCAGTGTAGCGAAGAGGTTTCTAATGATGAGGGGTGACCAGACTGCTTTTGAGTGTCAGATGCTTCTCCCTGCTACTACATACAAACAAGGAGTAACCACACACTGGTGAAGAGATCATGTAAAGATGATTCTGAAATCCCTGTGGACATTCTAATAAATTCTGAGATTTTAGATAGGAGAAGTGGTAAATAATGCAGGCTGAGGCCAGGTCATAATTGGAACTGAATGTCAGTTTGGATTGAATTCTAGAGGCAAGAGGAATCTCGGTTTCTGAGTAGAGTAGTAAACATGATCAAAGCAATCCGCTAGGAACATTGCTTTGGCCAACAGAGGAGGAAAATAGTTCTGATTTTTACATCCCATATTCAGCATTTGGTACTTATATTTCCTGAAACAGTAGCAATTTAAGAAAGCTAAGAGTAAAGAATATTGATTATTTTATTATTGAGATAATCCAAAAAGCATTTATGGGCTAGCATTTTTTAAAAATATATCTTTAACATTTAAAAAAAATTTATCTTCCAAGAATGATCCTTTCATTCCAAGGAACTCAAAGTACTGTACACCATAGCCTCATTCACCCTTGTCACATATCTGAATTGCTATGTAAGGGGCAAGAATGTCAGTCTCATCTCTCAGATAAGGAGAAGGGCTCACAAAGAGGAGAAACAAGTTGCTCAAGGTCAGGGTGAGTCGATGGCAGGGCAGGCTCCTTGACTGAGATCTCCCAGTCCTCAGGCCTGGGCTGCACACTGCCCCAAGGCCATGCCAAGGGTGCCTGAAATTAAGTATATCTCCCACTTACATAAAGAAGAACCAACCTGAATGAACATTCTTGCCAGAGTTGGAAATTAATTGAGACATTTAAAGTTCAATCAGTTTCATTCTGCTGATAGGAAAGAGAGACTTAGCAAGATCACATGACAAAGCCAGGTCTATGACTTGCACCCAGTTCCTGGGGTTCCTGACACTGGATGTTACCTTCCTATCTACCCATAAAATGGTAGGCCTGGGAACCCCCCACACGATGACCTGGAGTCAGCTAGGCCCTCACCATGAGCCCACTGTCTGGAAATCTTAAGACTCATACTGTATTGGCTTTGGCCACCAAAGAGAAGAAACATGCTGCAATCCTTGAAAACTCACAGCTGAAGGGGGCGGGAAGAAGCATGTGGAGCCTTGTACTTACAAAGTCAAAAGGGAAAACATGTGTTTCCCATTTGTCTTGGGATGGGAAAGAAAAACTTTTCCTTTCACTTAATCTTGGTTCAAACAAACAGAGAGACTGCCCTTTTTGTAAACTCACCAAATGTCAAATATTGTTCACTAGCATGGCATCAACTTACTAAGCCACTACATAGCCACTTTCCTCACGTAATCCCCCCCGATTAGAAGGCACTTCAGCCTGAAGAGGGGCAACTAAACTAATACACATTTCCTCTGATGAATTGAATGAGAGTCAGCCCACAGAGTCAGGTTTCCAAATCTATAACCTCTGATTTCAGCCAGAGCCCGGAGGCAGCACAGCTTCACTCATGACTCAGGATTTTGTGAGTGAAAGCAAACACGTCAAGTGATATAAGAAAATTCCCCCATTCCCCCATCCCCCGGTGCCTTCCCCCCTGGGGAATTCAGTGGAAGAGCACTGGGTGTGTTGAGGGTGGGAGGGCTCATGTCCCTGAATGCCAAATTGCCTGGCACACCTATCACCATTGCAGCATTGGGTCAGCACCTGACAAAGGAAGTAATCAGTGACAATTCCTTTCCTCTTGGCTCGTGATCTCAGATAATTATGCTCCAATGTGGGTGAGAACCTCAGAAAATAAACCAAGAAACAGAGGGGCCAGGTCTGAGCTAAAGGGAAGTGTCAAAGGGAGGGGGTGGAGAGGCAAGCCTACCTTTGAAGTCACTTTGTTTGTGAAAGGTCTGCTGCACTCTCTTAAGGAAACTCCACTGGAATGAGGTTTCTGTGCATGGGGTTTAGGGCTATTGTCTTTGGCTCCAACTTTCACCTCAAGCCCTAGCTAGGACATGTATAAATCCCATAACAACAGCCTGACATGAAATTGCTCACCCTCTCATTGCATCAGGGGACTTTTATTCAGGTGGATTTTGAATGCCTCATTGTTTAATAAGACAGGAAGTTTATTCTCAATGTAAATGAGGAATCTCCCCCCCGCCCCCCGACTTCCCTCCTTGGAAGATTTGTACAGAACTCTGCCTTGTTATCCCTAGTCTGGCTACTTCCAGGACAGCAGCTGTGGCTAGCAGCAGCTGCCTGATTTCTTTCTCAGAGTTGGAGTTTTCTTAGGACTAAAGCTTTAGGCAATCTTTCCTCTGGAGGTGACCTTGGGTGATGGGTCATGGTTCCACCCAGGGACAGGGTAGAGTTGGACAGTGTGACAAGAGCTGATCTTTTTTTTTTCAAGTTCTGCATTTTGATCTGAGGTCTCTTTATGACACATATACACAGAGGGAAGCCCCATCCCCAAACCTTATGATGCCTTTTCTCCTCCTTTGGAATATATCACATGGTGACCAGCCTGCAGGTGGAACAGCAGGCTAGGGCTCTGAAATCAAAATGTGCCAGACTAACAAGCATCAGCAAGATACCTGATTCAGAACTAGGGTTCTACTCTCTATTAGTACAAATCTCTGATAATAGAAACTTTAGAAAAAATTTTGTGGGCTCCCCCATCTCACGCCACATCCCATAGATAAACTCTTTAAAAGGTATAAGAATAACCCTCTCAACGTTTTGCTGGTCCCCCAGCCAAGAAACTGGCTGAGAGAGACCTTCAGAGACAAAGAGTTCACAGATTGAGACCCTCAAAGAGAAAGAGTTCACAAATTCATTGCCTTTTTTTCAGGGGGTGGGGTGGATCGAACTGGGGACCTTGCACAGCAGGCGCCGGAACCACTGAGCTAAATCCCCATCCCTTTATTGCCTTTTTAATCAAAGGAAACCAGACATAGGCAATGAAGAGGAAAATGACTTTGTAGGATGAGGAAGCCCTAATTTATTGGGTATGTGCCTCTAGAATGTTTTTTCCCACATATCTTAAAATAAATAAAGTGTTTTTTGTTTTGTTGTTTTTGTGGTACTTGAAATCAAACCCTGGGCACTCTACCACTGAGATACAACCTCCTGCTCTTTATTTTATTGTGACACAGGGTCTTACTAAATTGCCCAGGCTGACCTCAAATTTACGATCCTCCTGCCTCAACCTCATGAGTACCTGGGATTATAGGTGTGTACCACCATGCCTGTCAAATAATATGTTTTTAAAAAGAGAAAGAAGCCCAAGTGTGGTAGAGCCACACCTGTAATCCCAGCACTCAGAAAGCTGACGCAGGAGGACTGTGAATTTGAGGCCATCCTGGACTACATAGTGAGACCTGTCTAGAAAAAAAAAATGAGAGAGAAAGAAAGAAAGAAAGAGAGAGAGAGAAAAAAGAAAAAAGTAGGAAGTCAAGCACCATGCATAAGACTAGGGATTAATCTAAAGTTAAATTACCATCACAATTGTCTTCCACACCTTCCCAAGAGTCACTATGGTACACTTATTTGTTTAAAATTGCAATATCAACCAGAGTTGTATACATGAGTACGTATGTGCTTACGTTAGAATCACCTAATCACCCCCAGAGCTTTATTCACAATCCTTGAATGTCTGAGTGCTCAAGTGTCTGCTGCTCAGATTCTGGTTTAATTGGGCTGACCTAGGATCTGGACACAGGCTTTTTTTCTTAAGCTCTCCAGGTGATTCTAATGCATGTCTAGAGTCCCTTTCCACTGATTAGGCCAGTCCCCTAATGCAAACTCCCTACATTGGCCCACGATATTAGGCCACACATGCTAGCTTCTCACACAGCATTTTCCCCTACTCAGGCACTGGCATTTCTCTCATCTCCGTGGTCCTAAGCCTGGCTTTACTCTAGACTTCAGCATCTGGAATCTGGGGTCCTTTGTGACTATATCATGGCAAAAAATGTCTCTCTAAAATGCCCTCAAGGATAGCTTAGCAATTTAGTTAACACCTTCATACTCAATAAATATTATTCTATTTGTAATGAATCTGTTCATTCTCATTAACGAGGTGAGAAAAACCAAGCTGTGTTCAGTGGCATGTGACCACTTGGCTGGACCCTTTCTTGGCAAGCCAGTGAGCCAGCTTCCTAAGGGCTGGAGCAAGCACATCTTGTGCAAGGCTAAGTAACTACCTGCTGTGAACCTGCAGGAACCTTCAGGGCCTGCCACAGAGCTTGGCATGTCATAGGGGCTCAGCAAACTTCTGATTAAACAATATTAAGTCTGCAAATCCAAGGTGCTTCCCCAAGCTAATGTGGTTCTGGAAATTCAAATGACTGGACTGAGAAAAAGTTGTCCTAGTGATTACAAAATCTCCCTTAGAGAATACAGCAGCAAGTGGCAGAGCTAGCAGCTGTCTTTCCTACCTCTTCCCCTTCCCCAAACTGCCTTGGAAGCAACATTTCATGCCATTGCAGATGTAAGGCTTGGGGGCTTTCTCTCCACCCAGAACTAATTTAGTTGATGGAGTTATAAACCAGACCCTCTCTGGGTGGGGATGACCCTTTGTGTTGCAGTTTATAAATGGTGGACAAGGGGACTTTCTTTCATCTGTGTAAGCACCCAAGTAGCCCAAATTCTCAACATTACCCACTTCATCTCACTCTGGGCTTGTTTCTGGAAGGAGATAATAGATATTGAACCAGTATTTGTTGGTTAGTGGTGCTATTTTGCACTGTATTCATAGTATTTTTGGTTAATATGTTCTCATACTTGGTAGGACTGGCCTCTCCCAACTCTTTTTCAGAATTGTCCTTGTCATTTTCTCTCTCATTAAATCTAGATTTTAAATTTTTTCCCATAAAAACCAATGGCTTATTGGCTGAAGTTCACTTTTTAAATTTTTTAGTACATGTCTGTGATACATAACGAATATACTCATGATGGGAAGTTGATACCTATATATATTAAATCTTACTCATTTTTACTTCTCCTTTTCCTCCATTCTCATCTCTCTCCCTCCATCTCTAAATCCCCTTCCCGTCTCCAAAAGATCTTCCTCCCTGTTTCCCATCTTGTATCTTTTATTTTGCTCTTTAAATTACAGTGACACTTCAGTTCATGAATGCTTTTGTTTGTGAGCAATTTGGTTCACAAACAGAAGTGTTTGGGAAAATTTTGTTTTTGTTTGCAAACTCTGCATCAGATAACGAACATGACTGCAGCCATATTTTCCTGAATTGTGGAACAAATTAAGTTTATGAACTGAGGTACCACTGTAGTTATACTTGTGTTTCTCATATAAATACGGATTTTTAGAACAATAATAAATCTTGCCGGGGTTTTGATTAAAATCAAAATAAATCAGCAAATTAATTTATTGCATGAAAAAATTTAAATTTAATTTTCCTATTTATGAAGACGTTTATGAAGATTTTCTTCAAATCTCTAAATTTCCCAGTAAAATTGTGTAGGATTTTTTTTATCAGGATTCCATTTAGATGCTGGAGGTCCTGAGTTTAATCCCCAGCAACAAACAAATATACAAGATCCCACAAAACCTTGTTGCTAAGTGACTTATAGTTTCAGGTGCTGCTGTGAATAGAATATTGCGATTATGGTTCTCAGTAGTCTACAGGTAGAGATAAATGCCTTGAGTTTGTTTATCTTGTGTTTCTCTTGTATCCAGTCATTTTTCCAAACCCTTTTATTAATTCCAGTAGTTTTTAGCTGTTTCCTTTAAAATTTTAACAGAGCAGCCACATGATTGCAAAGAATGACATTTCATACTGATGTACAAGTCAAGGGGAGTAGTGATCCAATATATTAGCATCCTGGGGCTTCTGTCACACAGTGCCACAAACCAGGCAGTTTAAGACAACAGAAATGTATTCTCTCATAGTTCTGGAGGTCAGAAGTCTGAATCGAAGTGCCAGCAGGGCTGATCCCTTCTGGAAGCCCTGAAGAGAGAGAATCTGTTCCATGCCTCTATCTTGGCTTTCCCAAAGTTGCTGATAATCCGTGGAAATCCTTGGTTTGTAGCTGCATTACTTCAATCTCTACCTCTGTCTCCACATGACTTTCTTCCCCCTATGTCTGTGGATATCCAGATCTCTCCTCATAAGATATCAGTCCTTGGATTTGGGGCCCACCTTAACCCAAAATGACCTCATCTTGACTTGGTTACATCTACAAAACCGCTCTTTCCAAATAACATCAGTGGAATAAGGGGTTAGGACTTCAACATACATTTTAGGAAGATACAGTCTCATAGCAGCCACGGCAGGGTTCATGTCTCTGACCAGGCTACATTTACAGTTTGAGGACCACATTTCAAGATGTATATCAAAAATATTGCTTTTTATCTTGATGAAGGTGACCACACAGTGAAGGATTCTGCACCCACATGGTGTGAGAAATGGTTAGAAGAACTATGTTCACCTTGGCTCTAGGCCTCTGGAGGAGTATAATGTCCACCTTTACATAGCTACAGGGTTTTCCTGGTACTCTAAATGGTATAGTTCCAGGGGATGACACTCAGAGGGAAGTTGAGTTTGGCTTAATATAACTTTGGCTCAAAGATCCAAGCTATCTATCAAAGCCATGTACCTGCAGCAATAGCATTACCTCATTCTTCATTCATCTGACAAATAGGGACAAAGCAAGTGATTTGCCAGGCAGAAGGTCCTAAGCCAGACCTTGGGGCAATGACAGGCTTCTGAGAGAACCAGACCTTGCCCTCAGGAAGCTTGCAATCTATTGAGCCCAGAAAAGGTTCAGGCAGCCTGACTGAGCACATGAAGTAAGATGTTTCAGGGCATAGTGGTCTTTAAAATCCTTGAGAGGCCATATATAAATGAAACAGTGGTTTGGGGGGACGGGGGATTGGAAGATGAGAACATGAGTGAGATGAATTTTTTAAAAACCAAATTTAAATGAACACAGGATTTTCTT